GCCACTCCCTGCCGAGGATTTAGAAACTCAAATGCGCAAAATCGCGGACGGCATGATTTCAGGTCGATACTCAAAGCCAGATAGCGACGTCATTACCAATGAGCACAATCCGGAGGTTCCACACCAACGCGGCCTTGCGCCTGCCATGCTCAAGCACCTGATCGGACGAGGCCACGCCGAGTTCTCAACTATGCGACAACAAGACGCGTTCGAATTGCTTCTGCACGTACTCCAGCTCGTTTCACGCAGCAAGCACGTAGAGCCCCATAAGGATCCGGTTGGTGCTTTCCGCTTTGCTATGGAACAGCGGTTACAGTGTGTCAGTTGCAAGCGCGTTCGATACAAGACGGACGAGCAGGAGAACATTTCCATCCCCGTCCCCATCCGGCGGATACCAAAAGACTCGCAGATGGACGTCACCAATAGCGACGGCAAGAAGGAGGAAAAGGAAGAGTTTGAGCCAGTCACGCTAAAGGAGTGTCTTGACATCTTCACAGCCGAGGAGCTGGTTGAGCTTACTTGCGGTGCATGTGGCAGCAAAGATGGCTTCACGAAGAGGAGCATGTTCAAGACCTTCCCCTCAGTGTTGGCTGTCAACGCTAGGCGCTTTGAACTGGTCAACTGGGTGCCTACAAAGCAGGATGTTCCTGTTATCGTCAATGATGAGCCTTTCTCCTTCGATGCCTACAAGTCAAATGGTTTGGTAGAAGGAGAGGAGCTTCTCCCAGAAGATGTAGACACAGGAGCGTCGGGCAGTTCGAAGTGGTCACCCAACGAGGCGGCACTTTCGATGCTTGAGGCTATGGGATTCCCTAGAGTTCGATGTGAAAAGGCTCTACATGCTACTGGCAACGAAGATGCCGAAGCAGCGATGAACTGGCTGATTGGACATATGGAGGATCCAGATATCGACGACCCCGTCGACTTCAACGCTGGTTCTGGTGGAGGCGCAGCCGCTGCATCTGTTCTCGACCCTGAAAAAATCGAGAACCTAGGAGCTATGGGCTTCAACGCTCCCCAGGCACGCCAGGCTCTGAAGGAGACGGGTGGTGACATGGAGCGCGCTGTCGACTGGCTGTTCAGCCACCCCGATGCACCGGGCGATTTCGACGAAGGTGGGAGCTCCGAGGCACCTGCGGAGCCAACAGAGAAGAAGTTGGCTGGTAGTGAGACGCTGCCTGCAAACTTCCAGCTCCAGTCGATAGTATGCCACAAGGGTAGTTCGATACACGCCGGGTAAGTTTTCCGCATTTGGACTATGACGGTAGAGGATTCGCTAACACGCCATAGACACTACGTTGCGTTTGTGCGCAAGCAGTTGCCAGGCGAGCAGGCTGCATCATGGGTTCTGTTCAATGACGAGAAGGTGGCCAAGGCGGCCGACATTGAAGAGATGAAGAAGTTTGCCTACGTGTATTTCTTCCGACGTTTGTAAGACAGCGGGTCTAGGTCCCTCACCACGGACTAGCATAGCGAAAGCGGAGTTGTGTCGGGTTAGCATTAGCATTGATGAAACGGCGAAACGAGAACGGATTGGGAGCATTGCGGCGCAAGCTGCTAGATAGCATCAGCATAGCCGTAGGCGATATGAATGGAGCTGAAGTTCCATCTGATAGCAGGACGAACGGAGATAGCACTCGTTCGCCGGTGATCTGGAGCGGTTCTCCGAGATGATTCCATGATAAGTGTGGGGTATGTGTGCGCACGGACATTACGTCGCCGGCGGCCGGGCGTGGCTTTTCATCATTACTTCAATTGTCCGTCGCCATCCACCTCCGCTACACCTACACCAACATCCAACCGCTACCCGAACTATTGCCAAAACTCACCAAAGATACTACCAAACCTCAAAACACCACACACATCGATCGCCACCATGTTCAGGAGAGTCGCATCAGCAGTGCCCGCTCAGGCAGGAAGAGTGCTCGCAACCGCCGCTAGGCCCAGCATCGTTTCGCCCATTCGCACAGCAGCACCCGCAGTCTCAGCAGTCGGCCGGCGGCAGTACCACGAGAAAGATAAGTCGCCTTCCCCTCTCGTTCGGAAAATCGATGTGGTGGCGACACGGGAGTCCGATCGGAATCACCTCGTCATCGCACCACCATCTCCGACTAATTCTATCTGAGAACGCTCAGCTAACATTCGCAGCACTGCTCGACCACTACAACAAGCCTCGCAATGTCGGCTCCATGTCCAAGACAGACAACGATGTCGGTACTGGTCTAGTCGGCGCACCCGCATGTGGCGACGTCATGAAGCTCCAGATCCGTGTCGACCCCAACAGCAACACCATTAGCGATGTCAAGTTCAAGACATTCGGCTGCGGCAGCGCGATCGCGAGTTCGAGTTACCTGACCGAATTGGTCCGGGGCATGACACTGGAGGATGCGTCGAGGATCAAGAACACAGAGATTGCAAAGGAGCTTTGCCTACCACCTGTAAAGCGTGAGTATCCCACAATACGAAAGCGAGAATCAGGACCAGATTACTAACTGCCTGCAGTGCATTGCTCCATGCTTGCTGAAGACGCCATCAAATCCGCCATCTCCAACTACTACACCAAGAACCCCAACGCACGGCAAACAGACCTTGGCGGCAAGTCGGCGCCGCTGCCAAAGGTGGAGATTGAGACTGTTTCCTCAGCGACGGCTTAGGAAGGACGATGACAATGATGATGTAAATTGATACCAAGGGGATGAGAAGGATGGTTGGAAAGGGAAGTTTCCTGATATTACCTGCATTCAGTCTTTCGCTACTCAATGTACCGGGTATGACTTGGGCGTTTGAGCGTTACGGCGGCTGGCTTCCTGTATAGTAGGCTGAGAGTACATATGTTTTATCGCAATGAACAAAATTCTTAATGCGAAGTCAAGTGTTTGGGTTGTTGTGCGATGCGTAATGAAGTAACGGCAGAGGCAACTGCTGAGGAGGGTGGACTTAGGTCTATCTAAATTGTAGTACGCAACAGCGGAAGTCGGCTATGTGATCGTCTTGTGAGCTGAGTGTCACGCCATGCAGGTGCTCTACATCTGATTATCCTCTGCATCAGATAATGCATGTATCGAATCGTTATGCAGCCTTGTAGCGTCTCTGTAGATCAGAATCGCGCCTAAATCTAGTCTCACGTAGATCATGCTCTGATTATGCGAACGATGTTTAGCCTCCGTCATGAAGTTTAGGTAAACGTGAAAGGGCTTATGACGCTTTGGACCCTTGCGCGGTTCACGCCTCGGCCTAGGTCATCCTCCGAAACTCTACGTCCCCAACCCACGCTTCACTCCCGACTGTCCCGTAGCTACCCAGCATGTCGACGGCCCAAGAAGACGAGGCAGTCCCCGCTATACGATTCAAGCGCCGCAAGATCGCGCACCCGAAGCGCGTCTATACCGAAGACGATGCGCCTACTGTTTCCGCCTCACATACGCCCGTTGCTGCGACTCCCAACGACGCGCCTGTCTCACCGGCCGAAGCCAACGACGAAGAAGAGTCTGTGCCGAACCTGAAAGAGATATTGCGCAACCGAAAGCGGCCCCGCGACCGACTGAAGGAAACTACGCGCAAAGCAGAGCCGCCACGGACAGAGGTGGTGCAAGTAGAAGCACCCCGGCCAGACCAGTATACCAGCCGCTTTGTCGCGCAGACGGGGCAGGTGGTAGATCGTGACGACAAGCAGATGTGAGTGGACTCTTCACCAGATTACAACCAGGCTCGAACGAGGGCACCGTCAAGCATGGAGGCTAATGTGCCAGGTCGGAATATGTAGAAGCCCGCATGGCTGAAAAGAACTATCGCCAGTACGGCTGGCCCATACCAAACCACCTCCAGGCTTCCGTAGCCGCCATCGCACCAGATCTGCGACATACCTTCACCACCAGCTCATCGACACAGGGCGCGACCAGCAGTACCGAGAGTCCCGCGGATAACGAACATAGCAACCGGTTGGCGGCAGGCCAGGGCAAGCTTCAGGAAGTAGACCTAGGCCCTGATGCTGCGGCGCGCACCGAACAAGCCTGGAAACGATGGGACAAGGGCGAGCCAGAGCCGCCAGCGAGCAAAGCGCGACGAGACAAGTACGGCTACGCGTGGCGCAAGCCCAAAGCCAACGGCAAGACGGAGGAAGATAGGCGACGCGACCAGATGGTTGAAGCTGTACTGAAAGAAGCCAAACGTACGTTCCCTTCCCCTTCTCACAACCTCCTCACTAACATCCCCACGCAGTCGACTTCTTCGACTCCACAACCCCCGCAAACCCCCACGCCAACACCTCCACCAACACCGACGACGCCCTCGTCGAGCAGTTCCGCAATGAATACTTCGAGTCCATGGAAGCGAAACAACAAGCCCGTAAACCACCTGCTCCCCCCGTCAAGGGCGCGCCGCCGCCTATAACAGGACCCAAGCTGGGTGGCAGCAAGAGCGCGAGAGCTAAGATGCACAAGTTACAGCAGGAGGAGGCTGCGCGGAAGAAGAGGTAATGTTTGCTGTACATGAATTTTTCGTGTTGTTGTTGCGGTTTGCCCGCTACGAGCGGTTCATGGGTTGTTATTCCACGGGGTTTGATTCACTGTCTTGTTGGATGGTTGTTTTGGATGGGTCTTCTTCGTCTTGTTTTGATCCTCACTTTGAAAGAGGGATTGATATATTAACACCATTTTTGTTTAGTAGTGCGAGGACGAACGATGGACGAGTACTTGAACGATCGGAATGGACGGATACGCAGGTCAAGAAGACGACTTGGTATAGCGGTTAGTGAGATCGGTGTCTGAAGTCATGGGTTCCTTCGGTACGACGACTGAGACTGGGGGCTCAAGTAACACATTATCGGTGCGCGGGATGGGCTATTCTGCCTCAAATCCAATGATGGCATGTCGATATCTTACATACAAACAACTAAAATACCCAAGACCTAGTCAAGTATACTAGTCCCACGCCAAACAAATACCCTGGTTGTACTATACCCAAAGAAAACCCCATATACCCTTAACCTCATAACAGTCATCTCAAAGCTTCCTCGGAGCCGCAGCCGGTTTCTTCGCCGCCCCATTCCCAACACTCTCTTTCTTCGCAGTTCCATTCGCCGCACCTCCTATCTTAGCAGGCGCCTTCTTCGCCGGTGCGGACACAGCACCCATCTTCTTCGCCAACTCCCCCGTCTTCTTCACAGCCGCCGCTTGCCCCTTGTTACTCACTTTCTCAGGCACCTGCACAGCACCGCTAGGCGTCACTTTGATGGGCACACCGCCTGCTGTCATGAAAGTCGTTCCCTTCTTCTCCTGCTGCGCTTTTTCGATGTCTTCTTTGTCTACTTTGATCTTGACGCCATTCGCCATGGTTAGCGTGCCAGTTTTTTTGGCTTGTTCGACCTCCGTTTGAGGGACTTTGATCATGACGCCTGAGGCGGTCATTACTTCTTTCATGGGACCTGTGGGGGGCGGTGGTGTGGGCTTTTTGGTTGTGGCTACGGGGTTTGCGCGGGCGTGTGCGGCGGTGCCTGGTTTAGGTGCAGTGGCTGTGGGTTTCTTCGCTGAGGATGTGGGGAGGTTCACGGCGCTTTGAGCTCGCCTTGCTGCTGGGGTCGCGGCAGTGGGCGTCTGCAGCGTCTTGGTCATTGGTGGCGGCAGTGCTGTGCTTGCTCTTCTCATTCCGTTGGGCATTACAGCGCCGCTTGCAATAGCTGTTTCTTTGACTAGTTTGGCGAGGTTTTCTTGCGTAAGCCGTTGTACTTCTGGTACTTCTTTTGGACCGGCGGCTTGTGCTGCGCCCATTTGTGCGGCGCCTTCTATCATCTTTTCTAGTTGCTCGGGGCTCGGGAGGCCTTTCATTTCGCCGCCTTGACCTAGGAGTGTTTTCATGTGCGTTTGGAAGAATTCTTTGGCGCCGGGTATGGGTAGGTCTTCTGGCGAGGCACCGTAGGCTACGGTTAGGGCCATCATGACGGAGGTTATTGGGGCGAAGATTTTGACGAATTCGTTCCAATTGCCGCTCTTGACTTCGGTTTCGATTTGGACGGCTGGGCGGGGGACGGTTCGGATGGTCTTGTTTCCGCCTCTGCTGCTCTCGCTCTTGCTGTCCATGTCCAGGTGGTTCTTCCAGAAATCTTCTGCGGGAAACCGGTTGTGGCGACTGAAGTACTCCAGCATGTAGTCCTTCTCCCTCCAACGGTTTCTCAGCCAGACTTCGAAAGCGTGGGTGTTCTCATATGGGATATCGTCGAGGTGGAATCGTCGCCAGTGCATGTTGACTGACTTGGGAGGCCGGCCTTCGAAGAAAGAAGAGCGCAGAGTGAAGATATCTTGACCGAATTGACCTTCTGGCACGCCTTCGTATGCGATGGTACAGTCGTACAGCCAATCTGTCGTTTCCCTCAATTCGTTGAGGCAGAACTTGAGACCAGTGCTGCGTGGGAGCAGTTGGTGCTTCATATCCTGCAACCCATTCTTCTTCGCCCATTGCTGGCTCTTTTCGCGTGTAGTCTTTGACAGATTCGTGCCCTCAGGAAAGATGATCAGCCACATGGGATCTCCTTTCTTGTTCAGCTTGCTCAGATGTTTCTTGAACGTGCGCTGGTCTTCCTCCCATTTTCTAGATAGAAAGATGAAGTTGTAGAACTGGGCGCCCCATCCAATGATAGGGATGTTCTTCAGCGACTCCTTCAATATAATGTAGATGAAGCCGTGCATGTTGTTCGTATATGCGATCCACCAGATATACAGCCAGTCAGTGTAGAGTTGATGGTTTGCCATGAGCACCATGCGGTCTGCGAAATTGCATTGCAACGATCCATCTTTGCGTTTGATAAGTTGGCCGACCATACTGGAGTCGCCAGATACACGGACGACGGTCGGAGCCCACCATTGGGTGAGACATGTGATCAGTATGGCGAAGCATTCTTTGGTATATGCCATGTAGCCATCGTAGAATTGCGGGTCAATCAACTTTAGCGGTGCGCCTAGGAATTGGGATGCGCTTATACTGTCAGGTATTAGTTGGGTGTATCTGAAGGTGGACACGGACGTGCTTACGCCAGAACGCCGGACAAGAACGTCGAGGCTAACGTGAAAGCTCGTTCTGCCTGTGTCAACTCGCCAAAGCGCGGTGGTCCAGCCGGATGCGCTTCGACATTGTCTTTCGAGATCCGCAATCCAGCACCGAGGTCATCTTTTTTCTTCCTCTTAACAGCAGCTGGTACCGGGGGCTTGGACGCTGATTGGCTCGCTGGGGTTGGCTTTGGAGCCGTCGCCTTCTTCACTGGGGGTTTGGCAGCCGGCGATTTGGTAACGACCGGCTTCTTCGTAGCAGTAGCAGGCGACATCTTCCACAGTTGGCACACGAGCGAACATCGAAGTCCAAAACGTCAAACACGACTATCAGCACCAGTGACGGGCTACCCGCGACGTCAGTGCAGGCTAACGGTTCCAGGTTCGAGATCAAGATGGATGCTCCACTTGCGCGTCGTCAACCCCTGTCAGCGTGCCGTGGCATGACGTTATGTGTGGCGGCGTACAACCAAGTCAAGCAAGCAAGATATTCGAGACACGCTGTTACCCCTTCCTTAGCTTCTTGGTTTACTCAATAACACTATACTCGCTCCGCAGTAGATACCAATTCTCGAGAACGTCTCCATTACATCCCTCTTCCAACAATCCCACCATATTTACATCACAACTACGGTACGTTCAATTGTGACAGCTGTCGGCCCTGGCGCATGCTCGAGTGGTGCACGCGAGCACCTTCATACACATTTCGGCTCGAGACTGACACATATCACAGAATTAATCCGACAACGCACATCGGTTTCTCCATCATGCCCGCAGCCTCTGTAGCATCAGCGCCGGCAAAGCGCACCACCAACAAGGCCACCGCTTCAAGGGCTCCCAAGAAGGCTACCCAGGGCGCAAAGAAGCCCCAGACGAATGGCGCAACCAACGGAGCGTCGCAACCTCAGATGTCACCATACACTATCATGGCTTCGAGAATCGCAAACCGGGTCGCTGAAATGGCGGAGAACATGACATTCGTCGAGCGCGAGAAGTGAGTCGTCCGAACTTCCTTGAATTTTCCCCTGGCATTCTTTTGGTTCTGGTAGCGACGGCGTGGAAAATCAGGGCTGCACTACACAACTGCCGACCGGAATCTGGACCCCTATCGCGTAGTCACTGATCTAGACGTACATTTGCTGACAAGTTCTGGTAGGCCCCAACAGCAAGCGCAACAGCAGCAACAACAGCAGTCTGCCCCGTCAAACTCAGGAAAGAAGCCACCCAGGAAACTCGAGATGCGCATGCCCAACAACGGCGCCTCGCCGACCAACATCACTTTCAGCGCACCTTTCCTCGACAACACACTCGCCAAGCTGCTCACGCTCCAAAACCGTATGCTCACAGTCAGCAACGACATCGCAGCGTGCGAAGACGTAGACGACAAGACCAAGCAAGAGCAATTTGCGCAGAGCGCTGAGTTGAGCCGCATCATCGCCCTGATCTGCGCTGAGAAGGCCAGACAGGGTGCTTAATATGTTACTTTTGTGAAAGCAACGAGTAGTTACGAGCGTTTCTTTTTCTTTTATCGGAGTTGAGGATATGTAATCAAAAGGGTTTGATCGTAGCAGCGCGCTTTGTACGAATAGTATGAATGACGATAAACATAATGAACTGCCATATGACCACACCTCACCGTGATACTCAGCCTCAACGCTGTACCGCTTAGCGTACTGGTGACATGCCACGGCAGAAAGCTACGACACAAGCTAAAAACCTGCGTCAAAAGATCGCCAGCCAGGACTTTGGTTCAGGTCCACTTCGCTGTGCCACAATAACGTCATTTGACGCGGGGCGGCAGCGACCCCCCTGCATGCGACGGGTAGCGAAACAGGTTCAAGCTGCGGTGGCGCCAAAGGCCATGCATCATCGGAGAACATGATCTGGGGTCCAACAGTCTAGAATTAGAGAGCTCTTCCGATACTAACATAGCTTCTACGTCGAACCTAGCTCTCGACATCAATTGCAGTCGCGAGATCGCTATACGTACGGTACAATGACGAGCTTCATCTCAAACATCATCTGGAACTCGGTGGAGGGCTTCGTAGATGCCGGAAAGAAGACGGCGGGTGAATATGGTGGAAATGCCTTGATTAAGGCTGGAGACATGATTGAGAACAGTGGAAGGAGTGTGGGAAATGGTAAGTTCCTCTCTACCTCTCCCATCATCCACATACCTCTCAAGTACTCACTAACACGCGCCCAGGTCTCGAGAAGAAAGCAACAAGCTACGGCACCGCAATCACCGGCCAAACCTACAAACCCACAGCCAAAGCTCTCCCTTCCACAGCACGAAAGCCCGTGATCAAGCGTTCGAACTCGACCCCTGCGGGTAACAAGCCAACAACCAGTGGAACACCTCTAGGCGCGAAGAAGTACCCAGGCAGTAACCAAGTCAACGGCGCTGTTGGAGGAGCGAAGAAGACCGTCGGAGGAACTGTCGGAGGACTGAACAAAACCGTCGGAGGAGTAACAGGCAACGCATCCAAAGCCACCTCCGGCGTCATCGGCCGCGCAAACAGCACCGTCGGCAGCGTAACCAACACCACCACAAAAACCACCGGCGGCCTCGTAGGCGGCGATCAAAGAGCCATCGGCGGAGCCACGAAATCGATTCCTCCTTTCAAGGGCCCTGGAGCGACGCCTTCGGCCAACGGCCTCCCCAAACCCGCGTACCCGACGACTAGAAAGGCGGCGGTCAAGCCTGGTCAGCCGAAGCCGTTTACACCGCCTACGGAGCAGAAGAAGCCTGATCCGAAGAAAGCTTATCCGGGGACGAATACGCTGCCGGGGACGAGTCGGACGCCGGTACAACAGCAGAGGTTGAAGCCGTTGCCGAAGGCGGCGCCGCAGATTGGGCAGGGGCAGACTATGTCGCATCTTGCTATTTAGGAAGATGAGAAGCGGGAGGTTTTGCTTTGGATTGGGGTGATACGGCGTTGAGGTATGGGAATTTGGGGTGTACGATTATGATAGGTGTGTTGGGATCTTATTTGGATGGATATACGAATTGGGTCTTGTTAGCTGTCTCACCCAGTCCACCATGGTGATAGCCGTGTATTGTTCGAGCATACTCAAAATGTGTTTGAATGATCTGGGAATTTGATATGCCAATGAGATGCTCTCGACGTTTTTTCTCCTATGTATCCACCGCTGTGCTCGCAAAAGTTATCGAGATCAGAAAGCGCAGAAGAACTGGACGGCTAAAAGACTGCGCGTGGGCTAGGAGAGGACATGTAGACTTTGGTACCGTAGTAAGGAGTTCGAGTATCGAAAACAGCAGAGCATTTACAGAACAAGCTTCTGGCCCAAGTTGTTTGACTCCATTATATGATTATATGAACTACCCAAGGATCAAATCAACAAGCTCTTTCTCCCTTGCTTGTTCCCAAGCTTCAGCAGTGACTGTTCCACAAGCCCTCCGGTACGCAACTCCATCTTCCCACTCGATCCATAGCACGAACATGCAGTCGGTAATCGGCCTTGTTACACGCTTTCGGTGTCGACGCCTCATATCATAGAAACGTTCCCACTCAACTTCCCAGTCCAATTCCGGAGGGAACAGGGCCCTGGACACTCCTTTACTTATTGCTACAAGCTCTAAAGGATTGGGGGCCGAAGAAGTGCTGAACGCCCGTCCGAAGAGGGATTCTTGATCTGCGTTGTTGAGATGTAGAAATCCGACGGTCTGATCGTGCGTTGATCGTAACCACAGAAGGTGATATCCTGACCTAAAGTTGTATGGCCCGTTGTCCACGGTTTTGCCATATAAGAACGCTCGGCTTGTTTGGGTGGCGAGGTATGCGGTCTGTGGGACGAATATGCTGACACTCGTAGAGCAAGGCTCCGGTACAGGGAATGGATATAGAAGCTTCAAGCGTGGTCTACGAGTATGGCTGAACACAATTCCTAGTTTTGAATCATTTCGTTGTTGCCATCCTTGCGGTAGAGTGACGGAGTGACCCTCTATCGTCATTGAAAGGTATTCATGCCATGCTGACGCGATCGGTCTCCGATCAAGAGAGGTAGGCTGAGCAAGAGCATACCACTTAGTGACGGGTTCTGTAAAGGTGCCACTGAATCGGCCACCAAAGCCGACTTCATCATCAGGAAAGTATATCTTTCCGGTCCAGCCGATCCAGGACCAGCTCGGCAATCGGTAGGAATTTCCAGTAGGATATTTTGAGCCTGAAGCTACACGCCGTTCCAAATCGCCGTCAGGAATCCAAGACAACGCAAGCTCGAACCAGAACTCCGGAAGTCCGTACAAAAAACCAGGCTGATAAAATTGTTCGAGCAGACTTTGAATGCCGGCAAATGCCGGAAATGCGTCCTCTGAAAAGCTTAGATTACGTACGTTAAAGGCATTGACCAAATTGGCCAGTAAAAGAGGCGTTGGTAATTCAGTTGCAAGCTTTTGAGGGACCGTGGAAACCGGGGATGACAGCGGCCGCATGTCATCGTCGTCGTCGTCTACAGGCTCGGGTACTCTCTCGATCAGATCCTCGCGTGTATGAATATGGTTGCAATGCCATTCGACGGCATCCATGTGGAAGACTAATCTCCGGAGTGAGAAATTATACTCCTGGAATGTCCAAGCCCTCGTTTGATAGGCACCTTGGTTATGAGAGTTCTCATAGTGCGACGAAGGGTGGAGCATCGCCATCCGCTCGGATCCGATGAGCGGTATCAATTTTTGAGGATGATTTCTTGCGGCAGTCAAGCCTTCTAGTCCACGTAGCCCATAGCTTGCGTCGATTCCGTCGGCAGCAACGATGGTGAAGCTAGCAGAGTTGTAGACAAGGTGCATTCGACGCAGTTCAGCAGCGAGTTCAGCATGGTCATCCTGTACCTAAACCAGGTCAACTATTGCTCTTCTTGCACTAGATGATAGATACGTAGGTATGGGTACTCACCACGCACAAAGCATCCACCCAGAGGTACCTATAACCTAGTAATCGGACAACGCCGAAAGCGTCGCGGATTGTTTGTGGAATGGAACAAACGAGATCCCATTCTGAAAGTGAAGACGGCTTAAGAAGTCTTTCACGGACCTTAGTTGTGTTTCGAAGCGTCTTTATCTGGCTCCATTGGTAACTCAATGCGATGTATTCCGCTTCGACCCGATCACCCTTAACGACACACATCTCCAATGTATCAACGAGGTATTGAGGTCTCGTAGGCTCAAGGTGCCTAAGCCAAGATGACTGCCTGCATCCATGTCCGTGTTCTGCGTCGTATGTTCTTATCCACTGTTTCAACAAGCTCACATCGA